CGGGAGATGTCGGTTAAGGTGAGTAGGTCAGGAGGACAATGCTGGGACGACATAGACCGGTGCTGGAGTTGTGCTCTGTGACCCAGGGGGAGCTTGAGGTCCATGGAGTTATGCCGAGGGTGAAAGGCATAACCAGGTCGTCCAACGTAGTTGGCACCGGGGTGTGGACCCTGTAACCTGCTTAGGGGTTTGCCGCTAAAGGAGTTGTCGAGGAGGAAGGCACTTCCTGTCCGTCAAAACTAGGTTGGTCGGTACTGGGGAGGGTTGCGGTGCCCTGTTACTCTAGCAGAGGGGGGTATGAGACCAGGTGAGTTCTGGTACGAGGACTGAAAGTCGGGACCGGCGGTCCGCTTGTTGAGAGGGGGATTTTAGGATAGTTGGTATTAATTTCTAGTTTTGACCCCCTTTTTTTTCTGATTTTTATCCTGTTTTGGCCGTTAAGGGGGATTTGAGAATGTTTAGGATTATGGGGCTCCTATCAACTTTTCCTAGGCTACTTCGAAGTTGTTATACTCGGCGATCTGCGGCTGTTCGATGCCAGAAGGATGCTGGCCAGTGCTGGGGTGTTTCCCAGTAACCTGTTGACGCAGGAGCATGAGGTCTGGTAGAGAGATCTGGGCATGCTTTGGGGTGGGCATCTCACGGGACAACCAAGGTTTGCTGCTAGGATGACGCGCCGGAGCTGGGGCGAGTTGTGTTGCCCTGTAACCCATCAGGAAGTGGGGGTGTGAGGCCAGAGCTCGGCAGGGAGTAAGACAACTTTGAGGAACTTTGGAAAGGTTTGGGAGGTCGAGATTTAGACCCCCGGCGGTCTTTTCTAAAAAGAAACGAGGTGAGTGGGAGAAGGAGACGGTGGGATAACATGCGTCCTACTAGTAAGGGGGCTAGCTGGTAGGATTGGAATAGGGTATAGCAGCAGTAGAGATGGTGGCTCTGCTGCAGTAAGTCTTGCCGGAGTGAGGTATAGAGGATTGATGGGGGGGTGGTTTCCGAGTCGGATTTTGAAACCTGCTTATTCTTGAAGCCTGTTGTAGTCAGTTCCTAAGTAGTTCTAACTTTTTAAGCCAAAAAGAACGAGGGGGGAGTGGGGAAGGAGATGGTGGGATATCACGCGTCCTACTAGTGAGGGGGCTAGCTGGTAGGATGGGAATAGGGCATAGCAGCAGCGAAGATGGTGGCTCCGCTGTAGTAAGCCTTGCCGGAGTGAAGTACAGTGGATGGATGGAGGGGTTTTCTGAGTAGTTTTCTGAATTCTGTTCATATTCTGAAGTAGTCATTTTCTAAGTAGCTTCAATTTTTTCTGAGCCAAAGCTGGGTAATGGCCTCGGTATCTCAACCTTCAAAATTTTATGTAAATTTCCATATGGGACGCTGGGCCCGGTTCCCAGCACATGCTGCTCCCCACGAATAGATTGGAGCCTTGTTCCCAAAAAAAGAAAAAAAAAAAAAAAATCTTTTTCCACCGTCACATATCTGGCTTTCGTCCAATAACCAGTTCATGGTGCAACACGTAGCGAGCTCACAAAGGCCCTAAGAAAAAATATTAAAAATATATGTCCGAAAAACAAAACTTCAACCAGCCTGGTCTAAAGACCCGTGTTACAGCGCACGACCCAGCGCCCAACCCCCTGGTACTTATCCACAAGTGGGACAGGTCGGTATCCCAGAAAAATGTGGGACGGCCCTGTACCTGGGAACGGACTGGTACCGACGCAGCACAAGTGCCTATTACAAACTACCGCCCTGACTCCACTGCCGGCCTGAGTTACAACCTCCTTTTTGAACTCAGGCCATGCCAAAGTTGCTGCTACATGTTTTTTTGCCAATTACGAACTCTGTAAAAAAAAAAAAAAAAAAAAAAAAAAAAGATGTGACATGAACGTACTACCCTCAAAAAAATATAGAGAAAAAAGGACAGAACCTGGGGAACTTGCTGGGGATATTTTCTTCAAGAGCAGGATACCATGACAGAGGGGAAGGGATTTTTTTTTTTTTTTTTTTTTTTTTTTTTTTTTTAAACGGGCCCAGTGCCCAAGGCTGATATTGTCAATATGAAGATTGAGGCCGGGGTCCTCACAGTCTACCCGGAGTGACCGAAACGAACTTGCTGAGAACCGGGCTCAGCGTCCCTCATATGATGATAATGGTAATGATGATGATGATGAACTTCTGCTGATTCTATGTGAAATGTTAGATAATCATACTAATATGCAAAAATATAGAAGATTATGCTGTATCAGCAATTCTGGTCTCCTAATCCTAGAACAATTTCTAGTCCTCCCTGTACCAGGACATTACATTTCACAGACAATGCCATCCTAACCAACGTCGACCACAGCTGGCCTGTTCTCGCCACCTAGACTATCCCGACCCCATAGGTTGTCAAGGCAGCCCCCCCCAATTCGCCACTGGATTGCCTTCCTTCCTCAGCAAAACCCAGAACTCTCTACAAGGCCTCGCACTCCTGCCATTTGCAGGTTACAGGGCAACGCCCCAGCTCCGGCCAGCATCGTTCTGGCATCGGCAAACCAGGGGCATGGAACAGAGCAACTCTGCGGCAATCAGTCCAGATTCGACCATCTCTGAAATCCTATATCCTGAATGAGGAAGAAGTCCAGATGTCGCCAAGAATTACCGAACACTAAAAAGCTTGATATAACATCATTGAAGACTGTGGAATTCTGAAGCATTAAGCTCCCCCCCCCCCTCCTTCCCACCTTATCCCAATGCTGCCTCCACCGAAACGGATTACCCAGATTACAGGCATCCCATCTCAGCCCCAACTTGGGACAGTCCCACATTCCCCCCCCTTATCCCACACAGGCATACAGTTCCCGCCCAAAGTATGCCTCTGCCCACCTTTTACCCTAATCTGCCCCCGCTGGGATGTGTACCCCCACCCCAACCCCATAATAGAGTAACCCACTAAATCTGCTCGCACCCCCTCCAGGGCTTCACCTCCCACCTGGCGTCTCCCCTGCGGAGTGGAGCTCTCCCCTGTTCACTCCACCTTTCATCCATCAGAAAAAAACATTGATGCTCAAAGAGGAGAATATAGATATTAGGACCAGGCATTCGAACCAAAGGAAAATACGGTGGAGAAATTTTGAAGACTAAATTTCTGCGACAAAGAGGAGAATATATATATTAGGACCAGGCATTCGAACCAAAGGAAAATACGGTGGAGATAAGGGGATTGTACAGATCTTCAGGGGGAAGGAGCAGAAAGAGGAATTGAAGGGCGAAACCAAGTAGGTGAGAAACAGAAGGCTTAGCAGGTGTTGGTGGTTTTGGAATTTTCATTGAAATGCAGAAAGGGCTGCACAGCCTGTGAGGCTGCTAGAACGACCCTCCCCGCACCATGCCTTTCCTAGAGTCCGTCTGCTGCGTGACTCGGTGCTGCCAGTAAGCTTCCCGGCCAGCAGAAGCTCACTAGGAAAGCAATGAGCTGGGGGGGGGGTCGGATCGGAGCAGCCCCCCACCTTGACTAAACAACTCGTACCGCAAGGGTTGGGCTGATTCTTCCTCAACACTGCTCTTTCGCTTTCTTTCTCTGTGTACTCATGCACCATAGTTGCCCCTTTTTCTTCCTCAAGAAAACATCCCGCCTGGCAAGCCTTCATTGGATGAGGGATAAGAGCCCACCACCAATGAAGGACTTCACCGGAGTTGATGGCTCCAATCTTATTCGCAGGGAAGCAGCATGTGCTGGAAACCAGGTTGGGGATCCCTTTACACAGTTTTTTTTCTGACGTCCGACAAGGGCCATTGACAAGCACTGTATGATCCAGGCCAAACGCTTTCATTCGGGAAAAAGAAAAATAGTCATGATGCTGGACATGTCGAGCAATCCCTGATTGGTTGTTGATTCAACATTTTTTGTTCCGGAGAGTAAGTGGCGCTCGCCTACCAATCATTGCTCAGCTGTGTCTGACTGGATAGATGGATGCCTGGGCCAGGTACCTGGCCAAGGATTAGGTTGGCAAGATGCAGTTGGGGTCTGGACCCACAGGGCCCTAACCCTCCAAGGTGTGCATTAGGGCCGCAACCCTCTCCCTGGCTGAATCTTTCTTTCTTATGCTTTTTTTTCTTTTGTTGCAATCAGGTCTTCCCCCTCACGAGATTCCATCAATCCCCCCATAATCAATTATCCCTGGCGCAGCACTCCCTCAGTCCTACCTCAGTGTCTACCCATCAGGACAATCACCTCTCTACCATTTCTTGGTGGGTTCACCTGACCGGAGAGTGGTTGCAGGCATCAGCACTAAGCAGGATATCCCATTCAGCCCTGGGTGAACCATGTTCGAACAAGCCCTGTCATCAGTTACTTTGGATGCTAGGCCTGAACATTTTCTCTGCAGGCCCCACGAGGCTCGAGCAGACCCCAGATGGCCCCTGAAATTCTGTACGCAGGTTCCTCCATATATCTCACATTCTCCCCATGCTACCACAGGCTGAGCCGAGGTCTAACCTGTGACAGCCCCGGAGCTAATACACCCCATTAGCACAGATATTGATCTTATATTTGTTGTTGCCGTCGTCGTCGTCGTTGTTGTTGTTGTTGTTGTTGTTGTTGTTGTTGTTGCTGCTACTGTTGCTGTTGCCTTTGTTATGCTGTTCAAGCTATTGCTCAGTTGTTGTTATTGTTGTTGTTGTTGTTGTTGTTGTTGTTGTTGTTGTTGTTGTTGCTGTTGTTGTTGTTGTTGCTGTTGTTATTCTGTTATTGCTCATTTGTACTGCAGTCTACAGGCCATCTTTTATTTATTTTCTTAATTAAAAGCTCCAACTATTTGTGGGGAGCATCATGTGCTGGGAACTGGGCCCAGTGTCCCTTAAGAAATTACATTGAATATTTGTTGATGGTACTGTTGAGGATAGCAAAGTCATTACCTGGCTTTGGATGAGAAAAAATTCAGAAAGAACTACTTAGATTCATAAACAACGAAGGGCTGTGTATCGAGCTCCGCTGGTGCGATTACGCGGAGATGAGCGGTGAACGAGGTTGGAAGTTGTTGGGTGGTATCTTCTGGTTGGAAAGCGGTGCGATATCCTGAAGAAGAAGGGCACAGCCCAAAAAGCTCACACCGGAGGAAAAAAGGGAACAGATGATGAAAGATTATTTCTGGGTGGAGCTGCGGCACATCCCGGTGGAGGTTCAGGCAACCTTCATCCATGACCTGGCACAGCAGTACGCGATAGTAGATTTCATCGACCCGCTTCCCTCGTACGTGGCGAAGAGGGACGACTACGTGATGCTGGCCCTGGACCTCCCGAAAGACCAGCCCTTCTCCATGGACGACATTATCCCATTCAAAATGGGGGGGAAAATCCATCAGATACACACGGCACATAAATTCCGCCCCTGGTGCTTTAAGTGCAGGGCATACGGGCACCTCTGCACAGACTCGGCGTGTCCTGTGCACACATCAAACACCCGCCCGGCATCTCACCCGGCATCTGGCCAGCTGCAGGAGGGCAGAGGGGAGCAAGGTAGGGGGAGCAAACCTCAGGGCGATTGGACGCCAAGGGGGGAGGCGGCGGGAACCAGACCAGCCCCCCGGCCGGCAGGGGCGGCACCCCCCCACGAACCCAAACAGCCAGCACAGCAGCTGTCCTCCAGCCAGGAACAGCCGGAAACCCCCTGCAAAAAACAGAAACAGTTGGTAAAGGGGCCGGCACCACGGGACTACCTGCCAAAAAAAGACTGGCTGCACATACCAGAGAAGGTGGGAGGTGGTAAAAAATGGCAAATCTTAAAGAGGAAAGAACCGGAACAGGCGAGCTCCGCTGCTCCGCARAACAGCAATGCCGAAGGCGCTCGATCAGACACGGACAAAGGTGCGGAGACGGCGAATGCCGACCTTCTTGAGAGTGCATTCGGGGTCGAACCCATGGAGGTGGAAGTCGTCCCGGGGGCCCCTCCCTTCCCCCCGGAGATTGAGATGAAAGAGGCGACGGAAGTAGAGAATCATTCCGCTTCCGGGGGGGGGGGCACAACGGCAGAACCAGCGGCAAACAACCAGACAGACAAACTGAAAGAACTGGCAGAATGGTTAATGGGCAATCTACAGATTAAGTACCAGGGCAAAGACGACGACTTCTGGGATGACACATACAAAGCGCTCATCGCCATGATGGAGAACAGTGAAAGCCTCCAGTCTGCCGTACATAATGGTCTGCCAAAAGGGGTGACCTGGCCGGAGACGTGCCAGAAAGTGCTCACTATCGTGCTCATCCGTTTTCAGCCAGATGGGTCCGACCGCATCAGCGAGAAGAAAACAGACCCCCCGCCCCAGAAGAAAGAGGCGACTAAGAGAGACCAGCCAGATGGGTCCGACCGCATCAGCGAGAAGAAAACAAACCCCCCGCCCCAGAAGAAAGAGGCGACCAAGAGAGACCAGGGGCTGGAAACGGGAGAGGAGGTAGGAAAAGAAAAAGAGGAGAAAGGAAATGAAAAAGGAAAACAGGACATGGAACTGCCAGCTGGAGAGAAGGCGGGGAGCCCGGAAGAAGAAATCACAAAAAACCCTGCAGAAAACCCTGCGGAAAATCCCACAGAAAATCTTGGAGGACAGGCGGCAAAGGGGGGGACGAAGGAAGAGAGGGAACAAGGAGGAAAGGAAGAGGTGGGAGAAGAGGAGGAAAAGGGGGAGGGGGGGCAAGAGGGAGGACAGGGAAGCGAGGGGAGTGAGGGGACAGATAAAGTCAAAGGCTTGTGTTTGGCATTGGCAGCCTGGGGAACGGAAAAAGCAGGACTGCGGGAGGCTGCAAAAAAACAAAAAGACACCGTACCCCCCATGCCACCGGAGTCTGACCTCACGAGCAAGAGGCAGAAAATTAGGCACATTTTGGACAAAGGGAGAACTGCGACGGCACCGTAGGAAGAGGGCATTCTCTTGTTGCCGGTTAGGCGAGGGGAAGACTCGTGGGAAGTGGGCCTTTCAATACCCGAAGGGGCGACCCACTGGGAGGTCACAATGAAGGGTAGATCGACGTTCCTCCTCTCGCTCTCGGCCTGGGGGGGTGGCCCCACGCTGCTGAAATCAGACATACACCGACTAATGCAGGGCCACCTCCCTCAGGGGGCATCCGCCTCCCAGGTCACGTCGTATGGTGAGCACAGACTGTCTGCCACGGACGTGTACCTGAGATACGAGCAGGCCAACACGCAGGATCTCCGATGGTACAGTCAGGATACACTGATGGACCTGCAACTACTGAAGATCAAACCCTGCGAACCCTGGACAGAAACAAACATCAGAAACTTCGTGATCAAATTGCTGATGAATGGCACCCTGCAAAAAGGCGGCCCGCTTGAAAGGGAACCGTGGTGG